TAATACAATTAGTTAACTGAATTAACCAAAGATCTCAAGATTAACAGAAAAATTATTTATAACCAAGTGTATCCTAGAACAACCACAAAAAGTCGGTGTACAACATAAATTAAATGTAATGAACTACAAATAAGACAGAAATAATCACTTAGCTTATAGATTTATATACAATTTCTTAACAAAAAAACTGACATATTACTTTTCCTCTGGTTGTGACACATTTAATTAACATTTGACTGTCTTTGCTCAGTATGAGTTCACTCTCCAAAATAACATTGGAAATGTGTAATATTTAAATTATCTTGTTCCACAGAAGCAACAAAACCAGTGATGCTACGAATAAGTAAGTTTGGAATTGTTTAAACAAACTAAACATCAATTTAATTTGATTGCACAATCACCTGGTAGAATATTTAAACTTGGTGAAATTTTTTTTTAGTTTTTTTGGTACACTAATTTTTATGAAATATCAACATGTGTACACTATGCTTTTTGATGCTAAAAGCCACTTTAATTGGAAAAATAACATATAAATACACACACATACATAGGTGTGTACTACACAATGTAAGCATCAATACAATCTTATTTTTACAGTTTACCAAAATATAGTTCTCATCTTAAATATAAACATGTATACCAAGGTCGAATAAAAACATATAAAGGTTTAAAAATTGATATTTACAAGTCTTCCTGAAACAATCACTCCAAACATAGGGGCATTCATTGTTTTCTGTGAACCAGTGGTGATAGCCTAAAGAAAAAAGGATAAATTTAATGTATTAGTTGGAGATTTATTTATAACTACGACTCATTAAAACTTGTACCAACAACTCATTGGTGCTCTGTAAGCTTTCCTCAGTAAACTGAATGATACGATGATCTAGAAAATGAATTATGAGGTAATAAAAATAAATTAATATACACACATTTCTTGGAAAGCTACTAAAATAATTTATTAGCCACAGCATAACGGCTCACAGAATGGCTCTGTGTTGTTGTTTTCAAGTACACATTTCTTGACCAATTTGAGATTTAATTACAGTTTTGGACTCAGGAGGTCAAACCCTTTAATTTACTCTAATCCTGCCTAAAATAATTTCAATTTGAGGATAGGCTGGAGGAGATCCTGAAGAGTAACAAAATCAAATTGAGTATACATGCACCCCACACTTGGTATTGCTGACACACAAAAATATAGCTAATAAAAAGGAAAAAAAAGGTCTAGTAGATTAATTGAAAGAATTTCAAGTGCTTCAGCTACCAAGGATTCACTCTTGTTTTAGTCCACAAAAAGCAAGTTCCCTTTAAATGTAAAAGAATAGAGAAATTGAACTGACTTATTTTAAATGGCAAGGCCAGCTTCAGGTATTTCAACACTAAGCATGATTTTAAGATGCTATTCCCAACAGAACATTACCATTAATAAACATACATATATATATAACCTTACATTAATAAAATGTTGCAATTTCTAGTAAACTTTTACTTAAGTAAGTTTATCTTTGTCTTACTTCCAACTGTTTACATTTATAAGAACTGTATTTGTATGTAAAGTTGTGGAAGTAATTTTTTAAGGTCTAATTTCTTGAACTTAGTAGAAGCTTTTATCATAACTATATTAATTAACAATGTCTCTTTCTTTGATGAACACAGTTTCCTAAGAAAGACATGACAAAGATATAAAGTGAACACAAGATAGTCAGTTCTATTAAAGTAAAATTAATATTAAAAATTTTACTGATTTTGCAATCCTGGGCAATTTCCTACCTTACCGTAGGTATGGTTATTCTTCCCACATTCTTTGTATTTGATTAATGAAAGGTTAGGAATAGAAATGTTGAGTAGTATGATTCTTTGAAAGCCAACATGAAAGGTTGATATTAATCAATCTTACCCTTTCTGGAAAGGCTTAACAAAAGAAAGAGACAAAATGAGTATTTAGGGTTCTTTTTAAGCTCATTTACATGTGTTTATGGCCAGGAAAAGTTATGTTTAACTTAAGAGACTGCCTTACACATCAGATTCTGTATTTGCCCCAGTGCCACTTACCCTTTTAAATCTTATCTCCTCTCATAGTGTATACTGATAATGGTGATTTTTAATTATACCTAGTCTTTGCATATAAGTAAAGATACCCCAGACGTTACTAGTTTTAGTATTGTTTTCAATCTTTTAATCTTTTCTCCCACCATAAACGTAACACAATGTAGAAATTAAATATAATCCGAAGTTATTTACAGTTGGCCACCATATTCATAATTCAGTACACACTGGAGAATGTCAATCTATCTTAAGATTAGATGGGATTTATAGAAACGGACGGATGCAAATTGTCTGTAGAGTTTAAATGTTAAACTCTGCTTAGTTATTTTTTATTTCATACGCTAATTATCCAGTCATACATTTATCTCTCATTCTATTTGAACAATTCAAATACACAGAAATACATATATTACAAAAACATAAGTGGATACAGTAGCTTCATACACGGTGAATTTATATCCCCCCTGCTCCCCTAAAAGAATCGTTAATGATGGAAGTAATAGTATAATTTCACAAACTGATAATAGTTAGTTTTTAGTAAATTGTTACTGTTATAAAAGTGATACAGTCTCAGTCTAGTTAAGTGATACAATTAGTAGTGAATTACTAGCTTAAACTTGGCAATTAACAGTAAGTTGAGTAACAGTAACACACACAAAACAACGCCATTATAATCATTACTATTACTGTATTAGTAATGACTTTTAACACACTGTCTCTACCATATTAGAAGCCCTGCCGTGATCACTTAAAACTCATCTAGTACATTCACAGCAACTAATTATAAAAAATATCATCTTATTTACAGTAAAATAATAATAATAACTTGCCAATGAGGCTTAAACTTCACCTACCAAGAGAAAATGTATATAGCCAAATCTTACTGATCACTGACCTAAACATGAAACGGTACGACATCTAACGAATAAACATGACAAGCAAGAATTTAATATGACTTTTTATTACATATAAAAATAAAATGTTTTAAGCCAATGAAAATAATAAATACGATAGGATACTTATAATTAACGTATTTTTTAAAATTATCTTCGCATCTGGCTGTCATTTGTCGTTCTCGTTTCCTGGCAAAGCGCTGTTTAACCACGATAAAGTAATAATTGCTTAAGTAAAAAACCGAACAAAGCTTGGTACAAAGCTGACTTCAGTAGATATCCTATCATAACATAACTTCATGGAATCAGCAGACGTTTTCAACTTTGAACGCGCTTGATGGTGAATATCATCCATCCTTTCAGATAACACTTTCACGAACTCGTAAGGTGAGCGTCCTGTTATCAGGTCCACTGGCAACCGAAGTTCCCGACCAACCATCAGCTTTGCTGGAGTGTATCCAGTGACTTCATGCTCTGCTGTCCTATAGGCCATCAACAGTGGAGGGAATAAGACATCCCAGTCATCTTGACTTTGCCAATTCCTGTCCCAGTGTCCAGTTGTACTTTTCTACCATCCCACAAGACTGTGGGTGAAGTGGCATTGTCCTGGACTTTCGTATGCCAAACAACTTGCAACTTTCATGGAACACAGCTGATTCAAAGTTACGGCCTTGATCTGAATATAGTTTGTATGGCATA